TTAAATATATAATACAGTTATACACTTCAGACTTGTATAAAACGATTTTATTTCTATAATGGATAGTTAACTTAGACATTAGTGTAACACTTCCCTATACACTCATTAAACCATTAGATTCAATTGGTACATCGAAATCAGAATCTAATTTGTATGATAGCTTTTCTGCTTTTCTTGCATTTATTCGGATCGATGCATCAATCTAACTTTATAATATTGTAAATTTTATTAATAATAATGTATAAAATGTCGCATATATTTAATAAATATTATATATTTAAAATACATATAACATATTATGCTATTTATTTTAAATAAAATTTAAATGCCAATAAATTTTGAAGATTCCATTAAATTATTCATTATAATTATTTATTTTTCTTATTTTTTTTAAAAGACTAATGAAAATCGATAATACAAAATATAAAGCTGTTAAGAAAAATATAATTTGTAGATTATTTGTTGAACAATATGTCATGCAAAACATCAACATGCTTGCTCGTTTGTTTGGAAAAGAAAGAAAGGATTAGTGACATGAAAGAGATTGATCTGCCCTTGTCGTATAAAGCTTGAGAAGAGTTTCGTGGGCAATTGATTATCCTTAATATAATGATATAGCTTCAGCAAGTTTTTATCACAAAATAAATCAAGCAGAAGACATAAATTTAAAATTTCGACTCCTTTAATTAAAAGAAGTATTTGAGTTTAAATAACTATGAACAAACATTTTTTTAAGAACTTCTCTCTCCTTAACATTTAATATTATATTTAACATGGTACATTTACCATTATATATAATGTTATATATAATAAAATAAACCATCTGTTTAATTTTTAAACAGTGAATAGATTTAATACATAAAATAATATTTTCATATCTTTTAAATAAATAAAATATTTTATAAATGGAATTTAATCCAATTTTTAATAAAATGAATAGAGATTATTTTCTGTAAATCTAATTTTATATCATAAATATTTATTTTTCAACATTATGATCAATATTCAATCATATTTTAGTAACAATTTTATTTACTTTACATAAAATAAATTTTCTTATATATATATATATACATGTATAATATCCATCTAAAAAATTGTATTTTATATAAAGTTACGTTACTCGTATCTTTTTCGTTCGCTATTTATTTACAAATAATATTACAACTTCCGTTATTGGTATATTACAACTGCTGATATTGCTGATATTTTGCAATTCTTGTCACCGATCTTGCTATTTTTATTACCGATAAATAGTAATTTTTCCTCGTTGAAGTATTTATACTGTTTTGTATATTGTTACATGCTATTATTGTTTCCTATTGAAAGTGTTTTTACTACTTATAAAGTAGTTTTTATATAAGAAATTGAAGGAATTATATTGCTGCTAATATTAAAATTAAAACGAGTTGATTTACATTCCCGGCAACGTTTAAAATTTGGGTGGCGCCATCTGTTATGATATTTTATTCATTTTTATTTTTATTTTTAATTATTATAAAATGGCAAAAGATATTTTGAATGGTCATTTTTTGACCGATTGCAATACTTTCCCGTAAAGATAAAAAGTGATAAATCCTCCTACAGAAATAAAAAAATAAATAAATAAAATCAATGTAAATTTAATTTTAAAAAATATTGAAATATTGTTTTATTCCTACTGAATTAATTACTGACAGGAAGAACACAAAAGTTTAATCAATAAGTCTTTCTAAATTTAAACTTTTCGAGTTAACGCCCAATAAGGTAGTAAAAGCGATCAAAATAGGAAAATAATTACAAGAAAGATATAAGTGAGTTTGACTTTTATCTTAATGGCTAACGTTGTTTAAGAGAAGATAGGGAGTGATATTTAAAGCCTTAATAAAATAATAGCTACGTTAATAGGTGGTATGCTGTGAAGTGTCAAGAGAAGTTGGACGGTGATTTACTTTGTAGCATGCATGGAAGAAACGACTTTAGCAAAATAATGACTTAACAAAGTATAAAAAGCCAAAAATAAGACGCAAATAAGATATTAAGAAAATTAATGATACAATTTTATTATGATAACATGTTAAGAAAACTATAAAAATACGTTTAAATTGGAATAGTTTAAAACGTTGTTGATGCTTTGAATGTATCGAGTTTATAAAATATTATCAAAGAAAATTTGTATTGTGCTNAAATAATAATAAATTTATAAATAACTTATTATGAATTGTAAGAATTTTAATGATTATCACACAATGAATAATGTAAAGCCATTATTATTATTACAATAAACCTAATATGGCATACTACTACTTTTTCATTTCTGTATTATTCGGAGTTACTTCAGGTTTATTCTATTCTAAGAATAGGAATCGAATGAACCAAAAGGAACCATATGGAATTCCTCCTTTGAATTCTAAGATCCCATTGGGTCCATTCTCTTTCATATCTCCGTTCTTAAACTACAGTAATACTCAAGAGAATATTCTCTAATCCGCCTTTCAAATATTTCATCCGATCTTTTCTTCCGGAAATCTGCAATTTATTTTTCTCTATATTATAATCTGACTTTCCTATTGAGACTTCTAACCTCTTATGTGTAAAAATCCTGCGTGAATTAAATTTATTTCTTTTAGGACTTTTTTAATGCGAAGGATGGGATCAATTCATAACTGTTGAATGGACTTAATATTTTTTTCTTGTTAGAATTTAATGCGAATTTCTTACAACTTATTGAAGAATTCATATCTTTATATAATTAAATTGCATTATATTTATTTATTAAAATCTAGATTAAAATGTATTTATTTGTTTTTTTATCTGTTAATAATAACCAATTAAGAATCAAAGTATTAATATATTCTTTATATGAGTTTGAAATTGTGTAGTTTAATGTTAATATCGATTTTTCTTTAATTATATTATTTTTATTTTTTATTTGTATCTTTAACTTAATAAATTCTAATAAAGTACAATATTATTTCTGATTTTCTATATGATCATAATAAAAAAAAGTGATTAAAAAAGGTATAATTTAAAACTTTGATCCTGTATATATTTTTAATGCTTATATATAATTTATATACTGGAGTCATCCTCTCTAGTGAGGGTTACAGGATAAATCAATACAGAATTATAGAAACATAGTGTACAGATAAAAATTAATTTGTATAAATTTATTGAAATTAAAGAAAATAATTCATGATACTTACTGTTGCTATTTATTGGCATTAATTAATTAACCAAAAGATAAAAAAAATCTTAATGACATAACAGAAATTATAAGAGAAATATATAGAAATCTTAATAATACAAAAATTATTTATATTACAAACGTTTGGATATTTGTAGCTATTGGTTTCTTGCAACAAAAATTCTTATAAATTTTAACATAAAATTACTTTATAAGTAAATATTTTGTTTACTGAAAAGTCATCACTTTAATCTTTACAGTTAATAATTAAATTTATTAATAGAAAGAGAATTCATAATGATTAATGTATAAAGGTGATGTTTAACTTAGAAATTAATTAATCATTTTAAACACTGTTTATTAGTCATATGTTTCTGAGATTTAATAAGAATACGTAACTTTTGGATACTTATAACTTTCAAATATTAAATTTTACAATATATTATTTCACGTACAATACAGTAAAAAATATTTCTGATACCTAATTTAGATTCTATTTTCATATCATGCAATGTATTACCATTTGCTGTATGAATATAGTAAATATTATGCTTCTCTTTGGTATGGATAAAAGTGCAGTATGATAATGTATGATACAGCGTGCTTAGAAATAAAGTTTTCTGTGGCATTCGTCATGAAAATTTAATACAAATATAGTCAGAGTTTTACCAAACTTCAGAATTTAAACTGAAATCAGACAAGCAGAATAATAACATAATTTACGAAGCATAAATAATCAAATTTTTAAATAATTCAGTTTGGAATAATGTCTCTTCTGTATTAGTATTCTCTTTGTTATGTTTGCTTGAAATGTAGAGTGAAAGCTGTTTGTTGTGACTGTGGCTAGATGTTCAGTCTGATCGTGACGTGAAGTTGTTTAATAGCATACTTATGTGGTTACTGAACAATGTGCTCACTCAAATAATAAAATCTTCACAGCCTGAACACCTTCTAACAATTCATTTATTAAACAATCACAGTAGATAATTTAATTTTATTGATATTGGGTTAACGATTCTCCTTAGTTATTTATTATAACTAAAAATATTTATTATATTAAATAAGTGGTATTAAAATGTTAAATAACATTTTAAATATATGGATGTGTCGAGTAGCTATTATAAATATTGATAATTGTAGATGAAAAAAATCATAAAAAATGAATTAAAGACTTAAATTTCTTCAAATCATTAAAGATATGAAGCGTTTAATTGGTAACAAACTACTGTAATTATCTTTATTTAGTGAAATTAATCAATAATTCTTTTTTGGCTTAAATTTTTGTTAATATTTAATCATTTTAAAATTAATACAGTATTATCGAAATATAAAATTAGAGTAAAATATTTGTTGAAATTATAATTTAATAATAATAATAATAATATTATTATTATTATTATTATTAATTCAAAATATGGTGTATTAATGTTATGTAAGATATACAACATCCTACAGAGTGATGTTTTGAAATTCAAAAAATCAGTTTTTTAGTAGAAAATTTATAATTATTGTGTATTTTTCTTATGACTGTTATAAATATGTTTAATAATTATAAAATAAAAACGAAAAATTTTTAAATTTTCTTTTAATTTAAAAAAAAAACATTAAATTAAGGAACTTATGCAAAAAGAAAGTCATGCCAGAATTTAAATGTATATCTTTCATTCTTTATATCCTTTCTCTTTTTGAAATTACTGAATACATACCATACAATAATTTATAACTGAATGTTATTAATTTGCGAAAGGATCTTATATACATATACATACATATATCTTTCTAATTGGTAAGAAATAAGATACTGGAAGTAATTCTGTTTTCATTAAAGATTGAATTATTGTGTGGTAAGTTCAATCCAATTTCAAGAAAGTTTAAAAAAATTTCAACTATCCTATATAATAATGTTTTCTATTGTGTATTTTTATGTTTAATGTTTCTCTAAGGTTACAAAAGTTCAGTATATTTTTCTTTTACTTAGATGCTGATTTACCTCCACATCATAAAGTTAGCCTTCCTGCCCTTTCACCAACTATGGAAATGGGTACAATAGTTTCTTGGGAAAAGAAAGAAGGTGACAAACTGAATGAAGGTGATCTGTTAGCAGAGATAGAAACAGACAAAGCTACAATGGGTTTTGAGACACCTGAAGAAGGTTATCTTGCTAAAATCTTAGTATCAGCTGGTACAAAGGATGTTCCATTAGGCAAAGTAAATTAGTTTCAAAAATTATTATTGTTTTTTTACAATAAAAGTAATGTTGATTTTTGCATTATATTATTATTATCCTGTAATGATATTAAATCTTAATATTTTATGTCTTGAAATTCACAATATTTTATTTGGAAAGATTAGTAATATTCTACATAATTATTATTAATTAATCTATGATCCACATTCAGTGATTTCTGCACCTACTAGTTTTTTCACCAAATTGTTTTACTTAGCTGTGCTTCTATGACAGTCTCTTGCTACATGTTATTTGTCTGTGTAAAAATTCCAGTTGAAAAAAGTTCTTCTGTTTATCACAGACTCTCAAAAAAACTGCTGCAGAAAATCGCCATCTTACACTTGCAATAAAATACACCTTATTTATGCACACAATTTTTATTTTTCTCACACAATTGCATGCATAAGATGGCAACTTTTTCACTCTGACATTATTTTCAATGATGTTGGTCATGGAAGCTTATTAAAATTGTCCTAAAAGTGAGTAAGGATGTTATGAATGTTTGTCATTTATGCATGACATCATGACATGGCATCACTATGATTTTGAGCTCTTGTCTCCATAACATAGCCAAGGTACTAAGACCTACAACAATTTAAATTTTTATGCAGCTTTATTTTGTGCATGAAAAAAACAGAAAAATTTTTTGGTCCTTCTGAGAAACACCTTGGCCCTTCCATCATTTATTTTCAGGTGAACTCATTTCACATTAGCCCATGCTATCATAAAGTTGTGAATCTTCCTATGGGAAAAGAATCAAGGATATTGTTCTGTAAACAAAATAATATCTTGTAACTAAACAATGTATGTAAGTGAAATTTAGCAGTTGCAGAGAAGATATATCACAGGATTTTTCAAAATTGTCAAATTCAAGGAATGACAATTATGTATAGTGTAATTACAGTAATACCCCGAACTTACACGATAGGTGGGACCGAGCGGTAACCGCGTAAGTCGGGGTATAATTTCGCATATAAATACATACAAATAATTTTTAATTGGGGCCGGAGACTAAAGAAAACAATAATTTAGAAAAAAATGTTTAATAAAATCTTAGATAATATATATGTATGACAAATTATATTATTATACAATTTTTCACATTTACTTGATTATCACGCCATAATTTTAACATTGTTTCCATCTCAGCGATAATACTGTTACGTTTACGAATGATGCTTGAATTTAAAGATTGAGCATTTTTTACAGCTTTGAGAATTTTTTCTTTGCCTTTTATAATTGTTCTGACCATCAATTCCGATATTTCAAACTTCTTTGCCAATTCACAAATTTTCATTTTTGTATCGAAGTCTTTAATAATGGATATGTTTGTAAAGTCAAACGAGTTAAATGCGTTAGTAATGAATCATTCAAAAAGTCTAACGAAATAGGAATAACGATGACATCATTCTCGTTTAACTCATTCGACTTTATGAACGTACCCAATGTTAGCTTTACATTCCAAAGATAAAGTTTTTCTTTTCTTGTTTGATGCAGAAGAATTAGTTCTACTTTGTTTGGATGACATAGTAGATATAACAAACACAGAAATAAATAACGTAATAAATTGTAGCTATGTGTCGATTTCGTGCGACACATCTGAACATGTAAGCTGAACAATAGTGTGGGGGGAATGAATAATCAAGGGTTGCGTGGTGCTCAAACAAAAGATGAATCGACGAGATTTGAAAATCGTATAACTCCGGGTTCACGTAAGTCAGGGTAGCGTAAGTCGAGATATTACTGCACATATGAAAGATACATATTGAATAATGTATCAGATACATAGAGGAAAATTGCCACTTTATGCATGCATCTATCTATGCTAAAAAATCTGTGCATATGATTATGGATTAATAAAAAAATTTTCATATTAATTTCACTGCTCTTAATTAATATATGAACATACATCAATAAGTCTTTATATGCTATATCCTATATTATACTATTAGCATGTGATATTTTATGAACTTTAATAATCTGTCTCTTTGCTAATATGATATATTATTAGATACTTATATAATTTTTTTCATAAATTATCAATTAAAGTTTTGATATTAGACATGCAATTTATTTAGAAAGTTTTCTGTATTTTAGTGTACCTTAAAATTAATCATAAACCCAATAGATTATAATTTTTCTGAAATAATGAAATACGAATTTTTACAAAACTGCAAATACCACCTGAAAATATTAAATAAGTTCAGTCTCATTACTATAGGGGCAAAGGATTTATTTTTGTGATATGGTGATTTCAGTTTGTTAGTACAGTAATTACTGTACATTTATAGAAAATATATTTTATTATAAAAATTATTTTTTAACAAAAAGTAATTACTGTAATTTGCCTGGTTATGTCAAAAATGTTAAAATTAAAGATAACCGAGAGTATATTTTTTACAAGTACAGGGTTATTGAAATTAAACTTTCCCAACTCAGAGGGTCATGCATCATAAAGAACCAAAAGCGTGAATACGAAACACAGAATTCCAAGAGTTACCTGTATATTGTATATTTAATTACATTATTTCAGTCATTATTATATTGTGCAGTTGAATCAAAGATTTTTCTCTTGTATTACAATTAAAATGATTTATAAAATCTATTTTTGTTGTAGAATTAAGATGTGCAAAGCTTGGCCAAAAATGTTTGTGTTAATAAATCAAAATGAATTAACCAACTGAAGAATTAAAAGAATTACTATGGAAATACTTAGTTAACATATATAATGAAGTAACATATTGATATTGTTGATAATCCTGTTTTCAATACAAAAAGGTCTTTACAAATATTTTTAAATGATTGCTTTATTTGAACCTACTTACAAAATTTTTAGTTAAATTTGCATTCTGTATAAATGCTTGTTGCATAAACAATGTTTCATGTAGACATGTTTTAGTTAAATACTGCCCTGTGTATAAATTATATATATATATATA